TTCCTTTTTGGTATAGGGCACATGCACTCACCAGAAAGAGAGACAGAGAGACAGAAGGCGAGAAATCATCCCCCAGGGGGGATGGCCATACCACAATCCCTTCTCCTTCAGTCTCCTCCATTTTCCTCTTGGGATCTTGGGCATGCATGCACATGGGCCCAGTGTTGAGTTTAAGCCACCAGATCTGGGACTTGAACTGTGGTCAACTACATGGGAGTCCAGCAACATATCCATTACATCAACTGCTGGTCCCAAAACACACTCTTAAATCAGACGGCTATTTCAAATCCTTTTGGGAAACTTCCAGGGTATTATAACAAATAAACTCCAAAGCTTTGACCACAAAAACAAAACAAAACAAAAAAATCTCCTCAATTATCATAAACCTACATATAAACTTATTCTTAAATGTCTCCTGAATTTAATCTCCAATATGAAGTTTCACTCCTGTATTAAAAAAAAGAAAACAGCAACGACCAGTTTATTTTTCTACAAGTATGGTGCTAAACATTATCTTACTTACTCATGAGTTAACCCTATGATATACTTATATTATCCCTAGTTTATGAATAAGAAAAAGAGATAAGAGTGTTAAACAATTTACTCAAGATCACATCCTAGGAAGTGGTAGGACCAGGACTTAAGTGCTTTTAAAATCAATTAACTTTTGAATTACAAAACTTGTATCTGCTGCTATCTAATGTCAATACCTCTCCAAGAGTTAATACCTGGGTGAAACAGTTCTCTTCACCATCTAGAGACAGAAGTGCTTTAAATATATATGGGAGAAGAAACTTGACAAAGGTAAACACAGTGTATTCTCACCATTGCATGATTAGCTCCTACCACCATGGGTATGTTGGTAGTCCTCACTAATGAGTACACGAATGAATAAATACATGAATTAACAAAATGCACAACTAAACTGAAGGATATCATATATAAACCCTTAGACTTCACTGCTTTCATCATAAAACCAATTTGTTTCTTAAAAATGCCTATTTAAACATTTTTTTCAGAACCAGCAGATGGTGTAATGGTTACAACATAAAACTCCCATGTGGTCAAACACGGTCCAAAACTTAAGCCAGGTGTGTGTGCACGCTTGCCCCAAATCCCGAGAGGAGAATGGAGGAGAGGGATTGTGGTGTGGCCATCCCCCCTGGGGGGTGATTTTTCACTTCTGTCACTCTGTCTCTCCTACAAGCACACATGTCCTATAGCAAAAATCTCTCTTAAAAACATTTTGTTTTTCATCTGATTAGCCAGACAACAAATCTCAGAAGATAGGGCTTTACTATCAAGCAAGTATCACTACAGTAGTAACAATGCTATAGACTGAGTTGTGTCCTCTCCCTCTCCAAATTCTTAAGCTCAAGTCCTAACACCTAGCTCCTCAGATGTGATTGTATCTACACAGATTATTTACTTTATTTAATGAGGTTATTAAGTTACAATGAGGTCACAGAGTGGGCCCTGTTCGAATCTGACTGGTGTCCTCTTAAGAGGAAATTAGGACATACCCCCAATAGGAAAGGAAGAGAATCTCTGTGAAGATCACCTGAAGAGAAAGCAAGAGGGAGGCTATCTGCACGTCAAAGAGAAGAGCCTCAGAGAACTTAACTCTGCTGCAGCTTTGATCTTGGACCTCTAGCTTCTTCAACTGTGAGAAAATGAATTTGTTCTTAAAATCACCCTATCTGTAGTATTTTGTTATGACTGTTAACTAATACAGTAGTAACTATTATCATGGAGTAAGCAAAATACAGTATTCTTAGAAAGACATGTTGGGAGATAGGTCATTTGGGAATTAAAAGAGAATGACCACTATAAGATACAAATAGAACTGAGTCTCAGTGGAGAATATCTTCTAAGTAAATAATTATATTGAAGAACTTCCAAAAGACTAGAAAGCTAGGCTGCACTTAGTAGGGCTGACGTTTGATAAATGCCTACTACACACCACATACTGTGGAAGATGCTTTTGTAGGTCCCAAGAATGTCAAATGTTCCAAGGCCTTCTGCTGAAGTTCTTCAGTAGGAGGCAAATCCAAGTGAGCAGACAATTCTAATATTGTAGATGCAGTAACTAGCACTTACTAAGGAACTTACACTTATTTAATGGAATAAATAACATTTATCAAGAGTTTATTATATCCTAAGTATTCTAAGTACCTCACAACAAA